CTTCGCATGTGCTGTATATCTCCTCTCGCCCCCGCTCAACAGGAATACCTTGGGTAAAGGAACTGAAGAATTGTGGAAATATTCGGAAAACTCCTAGGGGAAGTTTCGACGTTGAGCAGGAAGGGGGTCGTATTAGACAACGAAACTTGGAAGGAGGGGTGTCGCACGTTCCAGAAATTTTCTCCAGCGGTAGGACGTGCCTTGATACCCGGTGCACGGATAACTCTTGGGCCAAATTACACTACAGGACTGGATATCCTGAGACTTTGAGAGTGACCATTATTCGACGTGATATTTACTATTTACTTATAATATTTTGTTTCAGTTTACTTTGATTTTTTTTTGTATTTTGCTTTTACAATTCATCCTGCGTACATCACTCTATTGCATCATATTGTCTTTTTTAAGAGAATATATAATTTTGTATTTTCTCTATCGGATTAGTGTTCTCCTAGGCGGTGAGTAACTTACCGTTCAGGAGAGTTGATTGTCTGTTGGCGCTCCTGTTAATAACGATTTTTACCCGAGGAAAAAAGTGTTGGTAACTGCTGATATGCCTCTGCCTTCTGTTTTTCTGCTAGAAACACCGATAAGGCTTATCTTTGGCACTGTGCTTCATATTTTTCTTCTGTGGTATTGCTATACGGTAACACATAGCTCCAGCTGCAGCTGACTCCCTCACATAGGCGGCTAATGCCGTTTGGACTCCAGAAATTTCGGCTCCGAGCTCATTTTCAAATTGCCTAAGCCACCAAATCCACTAAAAACTTGTATATAGGGGTAATTCAACATCCTGATTACGAGTATGACACTCATTCTTGGCGCTGGCGCCAAGAGAGGACACTACGATTACCTCCTGGGCTCAGCCTTAGCAGAGCGCAGGTAACCGTAGTGTCATCCATTAGCGCCAGCGCCAAAATGAATGTCATATTCGTGATCAGGAGGTTGATTTGCCCTATACAAGTTTTTAGCGGATTTGGCGATCTTTCCCTTTTTTAGAAATGAGCTCGGAGCCCAAATTTCTGAAGTCCAAACGGCATTAGCCCACATAGACTGCTCTGAATTCACCCATACATGTACGGGCCATGATTCGCTGGCGCTATATCTTTCCCCCCTTCAACTGCTTCATGAGCTTTTCGGGGAGAAACTGTGGACATCTCCCGGGATGAGGTAGAAAGGGGGGCAGGAAGAGCTCAGGGAGATGGTAGGTAGGATGGGAAGCGAGGGGAGGGGTTCTGAAGGGAAAGTTTTGAGTAGAGAGGGGAGTGGTATTCAGCAAAAAAATACAAAAATTCACCCGCCGGCCAGAACAGTGCCCTTCGTCTGGCCCACCTACACCAAACCTGATCGAGCCATCTGTGGTTTCAAAATTCTGTTCCTAGATTGCAATAGTTTCCCCTTGTGTTTATGGTGTTCCTTTGCTGAAAGTGCATTAGAGAGGCACTTGAGAACCTCCAGCGCTTTCTAGCAGAACCAGCATCCTCATGGTCAACGCGTTTTTAGACTACATCGATAAGTGCCACCTTTACGCAATCAGAACACATGCACTTAGCCGCTGCTTTCAAATAAGGGGTGGAACTGAACAAAAAGATGACGCTAAATTCACTCTTGCGTTCTTTTTTCTCGCGTTTACTTTGTTCAATTTTCTTTCCTCTTCGCAAATTCTCTCCCCTTCCAAAGAGTACGGTGCTTTGGAAACGTTCATCGATTACTTAACGGTACAGTTCAAACTCCTTGTGACGGAGGACAAGGCCACTTCTCAGTGACGACTGTGCATACCCATATGGAAAAGGGTAAAAAAAGCCAGAGGTGGCACGGGATTGATTTGGTTCCTTCTTGATTCCGAAGTTTTCACATTCTCTCTTCTTTTAATTCTGCAAGTCGACATTGCATGAGAAAGGAATATACTTCGTTACTCCTGGAGACATAGAATGCGACATGCATTTTACTTTTACATTTTACTTCGATAACAATGGTAGTGGTTTATTGGGTGCGGGCTGACTTTAAGGGCTCGGTCCGCGATCAGGTATAGAAGTTAAAATGTGGCGTCGAGAGGGTAGTGTGGTCCGCGACGAACAACCTTGTACCGGTTTCGCGGCAAAAAATTGCAAGGGCTATAGCGCAATATAGGTTCAGTGACGCCTCCTTTTTCCAGTGACTCCGCCTCCAGACTCCGCCTTCAAGGCCCGCCTTTCAGTGAAAAACGAAGCTGCAGGACGAAAAAGCATGAAAATCGTCACTTGTACGGTCGTAGGGTTCTTATCGTGGGCGGATAAGAAGTATCGAGTAAACTCAGTCATTTTGTCCTTTATATCCGAACTCCCTAATCTACTATCTGCGATGGCAACTGGTCGCGGGTTTTGCCTTCAAACCGACTTCGGGAACACCCAGTGCGTAAGTGCTTTTTATCCTCCCAGACGGATCTGGTACCAATTCACTGCTCTATGAGGGAGAGGGAGTGTAGCAGGTTTGGCTGACCCGCACAGAAGTCGAGGATGGACCGCGGGCCACTCGCACGGTATCACGCTCTCCTATCACCCCATATATATATATAATTCGCTTCGTCTGTTTGTTTGTAAGTTTGTTTGTAAGTTTGTTTGTAAGTTTGTTTGTAAGTTTGTTTGTAAGTTTGTTTGTAAGTTTGTTTGTCTGTCCGGAAATTCGGTTCGACCTGAAGAACGACTTGGAGAGGTCGGGTCAAGGTGGGGATGGGTAGAGCATGGGACAAGAAATAAAAAGCACACTTGACCTATGCGAAGCCCCGCCCACAGTGGGCGGGGCACTCGCTGAAATTTTGGGTTTCACAGAAAAATGTTCATAATTCGCTTCCGGAGCAGCCTAAGATGGTGAAACAAGGGAATAAGGTTAGTAAGGAGTCGCCAGACTAACTGTGGCAGACACATCCAAAATGGGCGGGGCGTACTCAAGGTGGGCGGTGCTTCGCATAAAACTCAGTAACTCGGTTCGCGAGAGTGTTCAGAAGTCCGCAAAAAGCTCAGTGCAGAATGTAAATATCTGGCGAGTATTGGGCATGCCCAAAGTGTGTTGAGATCCGCCCACAGTGGGCGGAGCTTGCCCTAAACCGCAGGATACTCACTTTAAAAGTTTGTAGCTCGGTTCCAGAGCACTGCAAAGACCGGAAAAACGTGCGTCAAGGTCGGCAAAGGTCGCCGGTGAGGACTGTGGGGCAAAAACATTGTGGGCGGAGCCTGCTCCGAGGTGGGCGGAGCCAGACAAAAGGTCTGTAAAACGGTTCCAGAGCACTCCGAAGACCGGAAAAAAAACTTGAATTAAGGTCAGCAGAGGGTCGCCGGTGAGGATTGTTGGGGGCGGGGCCAGCCCGAGTGGGCGGAGCCAGACAAAAACTCTGCTGCAGAACGGTTCCAGAACACATCAGACACCGGAAAAAAGTGGATTAAGGTCAGCAGGGGGTCGCCTGTGAAGAGTGCGGGACACAAAATTGAGGGCGGGTCTGCTCTGAGGTGGGCGGAGTCAGACGAAGAATTTGTAAAACAGCTCAAGAGTACTTCAGACACCGGAGAAAAGTAGAGTACAGAACAAAAGGCGGATATCAGTTGAGTCTAGAAATATGTGAGAGAAGGTACGCGCGGCGAAGCCGCGCCCGCCCGGCGCAGCCGGGCCGTATCAGAAGGAGCCGCGCCGGCGTCAGCCGGCGAGAGCGCCTGCGTCTTTATATCTTTTCATTTGTTTTTATGACTTCTTAAGGAAAGTAGGCGGTTTTCGCGGGAATATCACACCTTTTTTGAGTTCTTCTCTCATCTTTTTTCCTTTTTTTGACTTTCTTTTGACTTCGTTTGAGGCACCCTAGTTAACCGAGGCGGATTGCGCGGTCCTGCTCTCATAGGAGGGAGTAAAGGGTTTGCGAGTCAGTATTCCCATCCTCCCAGACGAATCTTTCACCAGTTTATCGACTCTGGGGGGGGGGTCGGTAAAAGGTTTTGTTGCTCTTTGCGGGGCCGATCCGGTATTTGAGTTCCGGACCGCCGCCGTGGTAAGCGTACCACTTGCCACTACACCACCTCCTCCTCAAAAAAGTTAATGAATGGGGAATAAACGACACCCAAAGCGCAACTTCTATCCCGGTTTATATTCGATACCTTAGTTTATTTTTTCATTTATATGGCAGTTTCTGGCCTGCGTACTCTTGTAGTGCGCATTAGATAAATAGATAGACGAAGGATTTGATAATTCAGAAGATTCTGAAGACTCCCTGTGCCTGTATGTCGTTATTTTCCGTGCACAAGTGTAATGTTTTTGTTGTCCCAGCTGACCCAACAGTTTTCAGAAGATCCCGCAGATGATATCATCGGAACGCGTCTCAGGTGTTGCAGCTGGTTATCGGCTTCTTCGGATTTATGAATGCTTTTGTGGCATCTTTGCAAAATGCGGAAAAATCATCACTTTTGGATCTTTACATCAATACCCACTGGATCACCACCATTGTGGTCTTTGCAGGCGCATCCCGGTTACTTATGATTGTGAGTTGCTCAGCTTCTCCCATGGATTGTTCCAACTCAGACTGCATTTCAGAGTTCATGGGCATCCGAGATCTTCTCCCTGATGCTGCAGTTGCTCTGCTTTTGTGTTGTCGTTAATGCGATGGTGGCTGATTTCTGGAATCTTCGCATTTTGTCGGCTTTGAACGGTACCATGGTGCCTGCTGCAACAACGGTTTGTTTTTAGAACGGACTTCTTCATAAAATAAGCCCATGCTCACAGTCTGCTGACTAGCCCTTGTGATCAGAGATGAGAGCGTTGAAGAACTGCCTCGCCCTCAGAAAGACACAAGCCCGCTCGCCGACGACAATAAGTGTGTGGGTGCCTAGGTCTGGATTTGTAGATGCCAAGCAACTAAGGCACATCCTGCATTTGGGGGAAATTTTTGTAAAACACCTTCTCAGAAATTTCCCCCTCTGGTTCGTCCGAATCCGCTCCTCCCCGTCTCACGCTACTATCTTTTTGGATCTACCTGGTTTCCTACCTACTTTCCCAAATTTTTTTTTCCCAAATCCCCCCCACTTTTTCGTTAGAAAGCGGAGATTATTAGTGGGAACTGAGAAACACGTCAACAGGCGAAAACATATTACTCCATCGCACGGCAAACAAACCGCTGCTCTTCACTCCAGCAACCCGTAGGAACCGCCCCTCCTGCTCAACCCCAACGCAAGGAAGCTGCCTGCCCCTGGCGAGCGATTCTCACAACTTCAGAGAACCCAGCTTGCCAATGAGTTTTCAAGGAAATTGCTCAGGACATCCCTGTAATGGGTAGCCGTCCTCTTTTCCAGCAATTTGCGGGCAGTACAGTGATCCCTTACTGGTGAGAAAGCACATTGTGCTCGGAAGAGAGACCAGACGACGAAAGGCGAGATAGTACCTAGTTGAGACACACCGCTATTCTCAGTGGGGCATATACAGGGGGGGGGACAAAAACTTAGACCGGGCAGTCACCCATATTCGGACAAAAGTTTCGCTGGAGAGAAGACGTGGATTGAGTACCAGGGCAAAAGATACCCAAGATGTTCCTCGATAATCAGGAGCTGGCCCTTGCGCCATCACCTTCATGTACACCAAAATATGAAGTCATCTCCAAGTAGCAGCCTGAAAACGGAGAAGACTTTAATATTCGTGTACCTTCCAAGACAGCTGCGAAACTTTTCTATCGAGTCGCCCAACGGTCCCAGCTGGCTGGAGACACAGTACTCTGATGCTGGATGACCTCCAACATCGAGCGCAAGACTCCGACAACGTCGCAACGCCTGAAAACAACATCTCCACCGTAGTCGCGAACAGAGGCGCGATTGGTGGTTTGGACCGGACGTGCCTCAAAGGGAAACCGATATTTTCTCCGTGGAAACGGACTGAAGATGAGCGCTGGTGGTTACATCGAGCAACTCGAGAAGAATATCCTCCCCACATGTGTCGCCCGTACCTTCTTGAACTTTGTACTGCTACAGCATTGGGTGCCCATTGGAGTTGAAGAGCGTTGAGCAAACTCTCCGCCCCAGTTTGGCGGAGTTTCAAATAGGCGGTTCTACCAGGTGGCGGCAGAATTCGACCAGCCTCGCTGATTCTCACGGCACCCTCTCGCGATAATATGCTCTTTAATATGGTGGTAAAAATGTCCGATCAGAATTTCAATAAAGTGTAACTTATAGCGCCTCGAAAGTCATGAAGAAAAGTGACTTTTTTTTTTTGGCCCTCCTTACAGTTGGCTTCCTTGATCCCGTGGGGTCGTGGACAGCCTATGCACACAGCCCGCTTGTCATTGACTTTTAGTCGCAGTACACCGGACCCAGTTAGTTAATGTAGGAACGGTTCTGATAAAGATTTATAGTCTTGTACTGCGCCCACAAAGTAAGTTTGAATAGCCTATTGAAAATCAGGCCTAAGCTGGGACTGTAGTCCAACCAAAACTACCATGAGCTTACATCAACTCCTAAAACTTCGGGCAGAGAATTAGAGGACCTGCACAGAGAATTCTCCACACTAACTGAGACCATCTTTCAGATCTCATATCTAAAACTGTATAACAGTATGGATGCTCTATTATGTGTGATTGCAGTCTTGCTCTCCTCATATATTATTTATCAGCATTTTTATTTATCTGCTGCCAGCTCCTATAGTCAGGTATCCCTTTTTTCAAGGCCTGATCCTTTATAAGAACAAGCCATAATGAGGGAATCTGTTTGCAAAAGAATAATGTGTATGCTTCAGACGCCTTCAGTGAAGCTTCTTGGCATGGGAACGGCATTGGTTGTGCTTGGCGTGATTCGTTTTGCCTGTTATTTCTGCGAGTTTTTCAAATTAGCTGGACAGGATCGTCTACGGGCCCTATTTGCCAACTATACACTTGATGAGCCGGCCTGGATCTGTGTTCAGTTAACTTTAGGTAATCTAATTGTCAAGTGCTTTCGAGAGAAAAATGGGCGGAGACAGCCAACTTTTGTGCCTTCCTCTTTTTGACGATTCAGAGGGATAGAACCAATGAGAAAATAGCCAAATGAGTTACATACGGAGTATCTCGCGCCCCCCTAACGTAGACTGACCTTTGATCGTCCGCTTCTCAGGTGTGCTCTGGCGTTCTGTCCCTTTCCGCCAGGGTAGCAAAACTTCTAGCGTAGCTCTCACGCTGGCGCTAGCCGTCTTCCACTGGCTGAATGCCATCAGTCTTTTAACCCTCTGGCTTCGACTACAGTGTCTCTACGGACCATATTTGTAATGCCCTCGGTTGAACTTGAAGCTTGGTGACCGCCTCCTATAGTATCGGCCGGTTATCGGCATTGGGTAATTTTTTTGTTGGCGAGGTGGTGGGCATCATCCCGGCGACTTTCATCGGGGTGCTCTCGAAATCATCAGCTTACTGGCAAGCGTCTGGAGTAGCGATCTCCCTATGTAATGTCGGTGTGGTGACAGCAACGCTTGTTCAACTCCTGTCTATGGTACACGTCGTTCAGCCTTTTCTGAACACCTATACATGCTAAGTCCATGCTGGTTGAAGAGGGCGGGGTCAAGCCTATCATCGTATCTTAATCATTGACGCACTCCATCTCTTGACTATAGGAGAAAAGGCAGTAGCATCAATGAAGAAAGGCAGCAATTCTACCGGTCTGGTCCCCGCCCACACGACCAGCACAGACTAAGCCTTTAACCTTACGGACGTCTTGTCGACATTCAAGCTATTTTTTAGCACTCGACAAACCGACGAGTGTCACTGGATGAGAAGACAACCGATTTTTTATGATAATAGCGGCCATATTCCTGGTGCTTTCTTGCAGTACAATATCCCTTGACGTCTACACGATATGGAAAAAGCTATTCTACAGGTAAGTCAACTGAAAGGAAGGTAACCGCTCGGTATTCTCTATCGAGGGTTTCAGGCTTTTCCATGGAGCTGAACAAAAAACTCCTTTTCCTGACCGCTCTCACTGCCATCTTTGCGATGGCCGCTTCGACATCAAAATTCGCTCCTATTGCTGTTCCCGCATGGTGAGAGTTTCACTACGTTTTTTCCACATTCTCGCTATCGACCAGCTTTTTGATCTATTTATGTCATTGCTGAAACCTTGGGTATTGTTCACGAAACCTGTTAAAGTTAGCTGAGAGGTAGTGGCTCAATTTATCCAAGAAAGAGCGTCTTTGAACGATCTTCCAAGGGTTCTTTCCAAATCACAGGCTAAGCCGCTGTACGGGGATGCGGATAAGGCGTTTCGCCTCCGAACGCTGTTCAGGAGTTCAGTGGGGTCACCAAAATGGCAGCTAGCGAAAGCTGAACAGGTCATATCTCGTGAGGGTCTGTGAATTATTGTAACCAATGTTTCTCCCTTGTACCATTGCGCACCTTTAGAAGAGTTTACAAGTCTTTACCAAAATGAACCTATTAAGGCTAACTATGAACCGAGGACAAAAATAAGTGGCAAAAGTGCAAATGGCCCCTTCCATGCCGAACAGCGCCTGAACTTCTACTTGCACCTGCTTTTTTGGGGCAAATTCCGCGACTAAATATCACGGGTGGGGGAGGAGGTCCAAATATACAAATTGGCGGATGGATAAAGGCAGCCGAAGCTGTCTGAAGAACCAGTAAATTGAAAAGCGAAAGTTGATACCTTGGAGGCCCAGCAGCCGAAGCCGTCTGAAAACCCCTAAATAAGCCACGAAGTTGAACACTTGAGGCCACATGGAGAACGAGATATTTCTGTGGGCGTGTGGGAGTACTGAGGCGAGAGTTTGAGATAAAGGTGCCTTCAATCAAGGGAGACCAGGCAGAAAAACTTGGCCTTGGAAAATTCGTTACAGGATTAAGGTGAAAGCCTGTGACGTGGCGCTTTGGGACCGTCCTCAAGAAGCTGGGGCCGTTGGAGAGGAATGACTGAAATAACCATGTCCCCGTGAGAGATACAATTATGCGTGGTCCAGTCTTGCTGTCCACACTGCTACCCATGCTCTAATTGTAAGTCCGTTGGTCAAGGCAACCTTTGCCATTTGTGCTGTTTTCATCTGATCGCTACCCAGCTGGCTAAGGGGAAAGCGCGACCGCTCTTCGACGTCTGTCGCGGTGCCCATTCGTGGCAGGCTACCTGTAGCCGCCCAAAAAAAACCTTCGTGCTGACTTTTATAGGGTCAGATTTTGCCTAGAAAATTGAACCTTTCAGCATTGTTTTATCGTTGTATTCACTAAATTCGACGATCTTTCAACTGATCTCATATTTGTATCTCTCGTGGAATGGCTACTTTGGCGATCAGCTTTGCGAGTTATTCTTCCCCCGGAACTTGGTCGCTGTTTCTTGGAGGTGACTAAGACAGGTTCGTTACTTTCGCTTTCCTTCTTCTGCACCTCCTTAATATAGTGATCTTTGCAGAAGCGATAATCCATTTCATCCAGATGTTGTTGGACTTTTCTGTGCTGATTCTTTCCTGTGTTCTATGTGCATGTTCAATGCGAATAACAACTATGGCTAAGACCGAGGTCACTGGTAATCGGAGGCTGGAGCCTCCCATAAGGGTTAGTTTTATTTTCTATCACTCTCTCTCCGAAATTTCCAGAGAAGGTGCTGCTTTCAGTGGCTCGGTGTACTAATGGCTCTATGTGGGCTCACTGTGTTGGTGCAGGCTATTCTTTTCTTCCGAACATCGACTGACCTTCACCCGATGGTCGTCGTCTACATGGCGCTTTACCATATGGCCTTAGCCATTGGACTTATCATCTTTCCCCTTTATCAGGTTCTTTATTACGCTTCTCCTTACACTCTTTGCGTCCCATTTTTCAGCTGTTTTCCAGTTCCTGTCCATTATTTCGGAAAAAAGAGCAGATCCTAAGAGACAAGTTCCGCGATCATCAGCTGGAGAAATGGGTAATCCATTCTGCCCAGGGTACATCATTGGTTGGGAATTTTGGTCGAGTCCGTACGACCCCTTTTTTTACAGAGTTGGTACGACTCCCTGGTTCTGTCGAGTGGGGGGGGGATTATATAGTACGCATGAAACAGGAAAAACCTCGGAAAGTCAGCAACCTCTCCCAGAAGGCAAGTACGACTCACCTCCTCTTTCCAACAACGAGCGAATACGATCCCCTCCCCCTTTTACAATGTCCGTGAAACAAGAAAAATCAACTATCAAAATTAATTTTTCTGAGCCCGAACACGATCCCCCTCTCCCAGCGGCCAGATACGCCTCCCCCTGCCCCCTCTGATCCCCAACCATGATGTGCCCTGATTCCGCCACATTGAGTGGCCCTTTCCTCGCAGTACAGTAAAGAGGCGTAGGTGCGCCAACAGGTGTTATAGGCTGACAATAATTATGAGGCTCCGCTCGTCTGATTGCCGCGGAATATTTCTGGAAGTTGTTCTTGTTCAATGGCTTTTCCTTTTCGATTTCTTGGAAGTCGCTGGAACCAAATCCCTGGTAACTCTGTAGAACAGTCTATATGTACCTGCTGTGAATTTGTGGAGATTTTGAAGATCAAAGGAAGACGCCTTCAATGGTGCAATATGTTTAACGGGTAACGCCTATTTCAAGTTCATGCCCATTGATTAGTATATCTCCCACAGTGTAGAACCTTAGCTTCAGCCAATCTCTTTTCGAGAGGCGCCATGCATTCTACTTCCCTTTAAAATCGTGGAGGCATTCAAAAATCAGCGGTAGACGTCAGTACCCTGCCAGACAAGGAACACCTCCACATTGTGGCAATTTCGTGGGGTGCAATCCCCTCACCAGACTTCCTTTATCGCCCATCGCTCGCGAGGCTCCCTCTTTTTATTTTCTCTCTTATACTACTTGCCATATTATGGGATTCTTCCAGAATTGAGCCGTCGAACGGAACAGGGGTACCCAGCTCCGTCCAACAATCCGAAAAAATTTTCTTGTGGCAAAGTGCGACTCCCTCTCTACAACGGCCAGTTACGCCCCCATGGTTAACCCTGCGCCTAGAAAAGTCTGAGTGCCCGTCGACCGACCCTGTAAGACGAAAGGTTTGGTTGATCTGGGTGGGAGCCAGGGCGGGGTTTAACCGTCTGACCATCTCTTCTATCGCTATATTACTTTCGCTCTCAGGAAAATTCCAGTAGTGAAAAGGACTGTCATAGGGGATATGAGGCATCGTTAAGGCTGCGTTCAGACTCGCGACGGCGGTCGTCGTCGTCAGCAAGTGAGAGCCACTTCAAACACACTAATTTCTTTCCTTGGGGAGCTTGCTGGTGAAAGCAGCGAACAACTGATGCGCCATACCGCCAGCCATACCACTGCTTTATCTAAAACCGCTGTCCGCTGCCAAATAGAACCCCCTCCCTTCACAGTCACCAAGTACGACCTCCTCTGATTTGACTTTATCTTAGATGCCGTACCTTGTTCGGTGGTCCTTTCCTCGAAATACAATAGAGAGGCGTGAAGGTAAGGAGGAATACTTGTGAGACTCCGCCCATCTAATTACCGCGGAATATGCCTTCGAATTGTTCTTTATTGATTACCTTTTTGTATAGACTTCGCGTAACTGCCTTTGTAGTCATATAACGTGGTTCTTTTTTTGTATCTAGCGCTGTTTTCAAGAATGGCACTTCTAGGGGAAATTTGATTCCTCGCGATGATTGTTATGTAAATTCAGATTCTATGTTCGGAAAAACTGAGCACACATCCACTCAGCCAGACGGCGTTGCTTATTCTGTCAGTGGTGCGATTCGTCGAGATTCTCACTCAACTCGATTATCGCGGAACCGGCGACGACTTGTCGTTCGCCTGGAAAGTGCATCAAACGGCCGACTTTATCGCTTTGATAAGTGAGTTCTTTGCCGAAAAGTCCGAAAATTCGTTTGTGAGGTTTGAAGGTGGCAGAAGGAGGTGAGGAGGGGGAAGAGTAGCTCGCTTATTCACGTCAGTTTCGCTTTTTCTTGCCAGTCATTTTCAAAGTCTTCAATTAGATATTCACCATTTTTCTGTCCCGCAACTACCTTTAGCTAAATATTTCCTTGACACTTCTTTAATTGTTTTAAAAGTACCTTTTAGGCCATTTCGCCACGGCTATGCTCGTGATTCGACTTATGGGAAATGATATTGTAGAAGCTGACGAACTTCAGCTTCGATTCAACAATCCATTGACATTGGAAGAAAATGGCGACTACCTACAGCTCAGACCTCAAGAAGACTCCATAGAGATTCATTTACTAATGCTTAATAAAGATTATTTGTACAAATTATGACTAGGAACGACTATGTATGAATTTTAGGCGGGCGGTATGGTGGACAAGTGGCCGCATTAGCCACTCGCACTGCTCCTGGGTTCAATCTTCCGGAACGCTCCGCCAAGCGTTAATAAACCCTTCTCTTCGCCCGCGAGCGGGAGTGGTGGCCAGATTCCGTCTGGTGAAGAATAAGAACATTGAGTCAGAACATCGTTGTCGCCCACAAGCTCACTGTCGTAGGCCCGCCTAGCATTCAATGAGTCACGTCGATCTGGACTTGGAACTGGGATAGGCGTGCCGCAATCCCAGGACGGGGCTAAGTTGACGGCGAAGAGCCTTATTCTTTGATTTAATGATTACAATTGTACATGCCGGATATGATCCTGGGGCACATGTGCCTCCGCCAAGATGCTTGTGAGACAAGGGCAGCCCAACATTCTGACCATCGCGTCTTTCCAGCTCCTTTAACATTGGTTTGCAATGTGGGTCAAGACAGCCGAAAGAGCCACCGTTGCGGAATCCAGCATTGCCTGGATAGTTGACCGGAACATAGTATCCTTAGACCTTGAGTTTCATACTATTGGCAGAGCCCATCTTTAACTGTCTGACTTCACCTGTCTTTTGCAAAAATTCCACAATCAGATGAGAGCGAGAGCGCTCCGCTTCTCTCTCTCCTCTCTCCCCCCCCCTCCCCTCCTCAAGATTTGACGCCAAAGTGCCATGTCGAGCCAACTGGCTAAGGATGCTGGGTTACGCCCGATGCCCCTCCACTGATATACTGAACTCCCCCAGTTTGTAAAGCATCCTTGAAAATACGACCTGATCTAGATTCTGGTCACCACTTTATTCTCATGATGCGTAGCAAATAGCGCACTCGCCCAGAAATCGCGAAGTGCAACTTACAGTCCGGACTGGGGCCAAAAGTTTTGCCCATAGCTTCGCATCCTTGTGATAATCAAAGATAACTCGATGCATCCATAGGACACGCTACCTCAGACTGAAAACATGAGTAATGAGCGAGTGGTTAAAGGCGAGGTATAGAAGCAGAGAGTGTAGCTTTGGGAGGTTACTGCGGTCCACGACGAACAACACTGTACCGGTCTTCGCGGCAAAAAATAAGGGAGGGGCGCTATAGCGCAATATAGGTTCAGTGACGCCTCCTTTTTCCAGTGACTCCGCCTCCAGACTCCGCCTTCAAGGCCCGCCTTTCAGTGAAAACGAAGCTGCAGGACGAAAAAGCATGAAAATCGTCACTTGTACGGTCGTAGAGTTCTTATCGGGGAATCAGCTGTGCGGATGGGGGCGTAGTGTTGGAGATGGAGTTAATTGGGCACGTACAAACTGGTATCAAAACTGGTACCGAGATTCTATCTGGGACAGTTGGCATGTTTTTTCTGCTTTTTTTCTTCATTATCGACTTACTCAGCACTTTGTCGTCTGTGTGCAAACCCCTAATCCACCATATGTGATGACGAATGA